TCAGTCCAGTAGTAGTAGAAAGTTTCCCTGAAATGAGAAATAAATAAGAAAGAAAGTGCGGCTCGGCAGCGGTGGATCTTCGTGCGCTTCGTAGTAGCGGGAAAACAATCGGCGAAGTGAGAGCAGCTTCTGTGGCTCCTTTTCGGGATAGATGTGAGCAGTTCTTCGGCTTTTCTAGGCCCTAAGTGCTTTTTTGGTGTGTAGGAATGTGTGCTACCTGTCGTGGCATGGGAGGAGAGAGAGGGAGAAGGGCAGAAGGGGCGCGGGAGAGGAGACAGCGCCTGGCAGTGTGGAGGCATGGTGCGGTGCCGGGCGAGTGTAGGCCTATGTCGCTGCCTCTTCTCCCGGCGCTCTCGGGGGCCGAGGGGCTGGCTCAGGTGGCCGCAGGAGGAGCCTAGGCATGGGCATTTCGGCGTTAGACGAGCTCTAGGGGGAAAATCTCAGAAGTGGTACCACGTAGCCAGAAAGGATGAGGAATTGGCGCAGCTTTGGGGGGGACGAGGGCAGGTGCCGCTGGCCGTGGGGCAGGGACAGGGCAGCAGCCTGGGTAGCTTTCTAATCATCACTTCAGTAAGCGGAGACGTGAGGCCTCAGGTGCAACTGAGTGCCAGGCCCTCACGTCCTTGGGGCTCTGGCAAAGGGCAAGGATTATTCTTTAATCTAGGGGTAAACTCGCCAGAGACTAGGTCCCCAACCCCATGCCGCAAAATTCAATAATATAAATTGCCGTCCCTGGTTTGCCCTTCGGCTTCTGCCCAAGGGAAGGTTTGATGGAAGGCGCTGACACCCAACACCCCACAGCAAGCATTGTCTTCACCTCGGTATGCATGGCAAAATAGAACTGAAACTTTGGAGCACCAAGTGGATTTGGGGTGTGAGCAGCACTTTCCATAATCATCTTCCTTTATTTGTGCCATTACCATTCATGCGTGTAGATTATTTCTACAACTTTTTGTCCTCAACAAAAATATCTTCAATATGTCGTCCCTTAGTACAGCCAAACCAAATACGATAACCAAGGGCAACAAACTACTAAATGTAACCTCTCAAAATGGGTTGTGAATTCTTTTTTGACGTCAAACTATCTGGATGTTCTATGGAGCCTCAATCATCCATCCCAAGCGTGTTGGTGCAGCTCGATTTTCACCCTGAATTGAGGTATTCAGCACTTGTGTAAACTCTAGCTTGTACATTTCATACTTAATTTATTTACTAAGGTTTTTTTTAGCTTACTATGCTAATTTTGATAATTCAATTGCAGAGTAGAGCTCAAAGGAATATTTTACCCTAAGATCTCTTATGTAATGTCAGCTGTACTGACCAAGATAATTTTTGCCCTAGATATACTGTGCAAACTAAAGTAATTCCTCCCGCTTTTATTTTCTGCACACATTACATTGTAGCGGAATGGATATATTAGCATTCAAAATAGGGCAATTAATTGCATGAAAGGAGAAAATAGGGAGGGGATATGACAAACAGGAGGGGGTCAAGTTTCCTTGGTTAAAAAGGTTTTGGGTTCTTGCAGCAATCTTCATGGTCTTCTTGCCTTGAGAAAGGGTTTTATTTGTTCTTTCATTCAAATTGGTAAACCAGGGGTTTTGAATAGTGGGAGTGTGTGGGCAAATTTATTCATCAAAGCATTTAAAAGATAGAAAAAAATTAGAAAATCAAGATTTGGTCATGGATGATTTGTTCTGAAATGCAGACACAAGGGAACCCATCCTAAATGCACAAACTATCACATTGATTGGTGTATAAACCAAAAACCTACCAAACTCGAAGAACCTTCCAATCACCATTTCTCCCTAGCCAGTGTAGTTATAATTCTTCTTAACAGTAAGCCAATGAACTTCAAATTTTTGTTAGTGCAGAGGATCTTGTGTCAATCCTAACAATGGCAATTACACTTGAACTGTTTTCCAATGCTAGGCTATCTAGTTGAACTCCTGGGCTGAGGCAAGTACAATCAGACCATTTCCCAGTAATATTTATATTAAAAGAAAAGTACCTAGGACTGTGTCTGCCTGAGACAACTTCTGTATCTTTTGTATCCTGGCAAAGGCCAACAAACCTCCACCATATATATTCAGCATAATTAGGCTTGAATTGCCTGTGGGGCTGAGGCCACAGTGAGAATTTTTGTCATTGCAAAGGATAAATAGTGTAGGATTACCTTGACTTTTAGGTGATTGTTTTCTAGTCAGTATTGTCTTTTGTGCTCATTAAGAGACTTGGCTGTTATTTCCTCTCCTCAGTTTTCGTTCCAAGACTTACTGAACCATCTAGTAGATTGGGGGGGGGGTCTGATTCATGGATGGAATTGATTTGTGATGTATTCACATATAGGTCATCTTCATCTCTTTTGTTGGGCTTTATTTGCCCAAATCAGATTACCTATCTTCCTCCTCGCATTTTGCACTCCCCAAAATCGTATCCGTTTTGTCAGTTTAAGATATAAGTATGACTTAATTAAAACTAACATAATCAATCATGATTATTGGGTATTAAAGAGCTTGCAACCAGCAATCAACCTGGGAAGCAGATGCAAAACTTGCTTATGAAATTACAGCTTGTACATGTCAGCCTGAGCTAAGAGATTTGATGCCTATAACGATCAGCTCTAGTTAAGCTGGTGATCTCCAACCAGGGAACATGGCAAAATTCACTGGCGATATTTTAGCTGCTTTTTATTAATTTTGTAGAAATTGATATGATACCTGGATTATTATGAACATATTAAGATCAAAAGAGAATGGGCAATATGCATTTGTAAATGTAGATGTGGAATGGTTGCAATCTGAAGACAAATAGAAATTCTCCTTCTTCAGAATGGTATTTTCCACATGCAAATAAAAAAAAAATTTAGGTGCTAGTTATGGGCACTGCTGATATTAAGCTCGAAAATTTGTTATTGGCAGATGAATGGCTATGATTTCATAGGAAAATGTGCAGTTATCCCAATGCCGCTGGGTGGTTTCCCAATACGAAAGCCCTCTCTCCTGGGTTGTATTCATATGGCCTGGGCCCCACTGCCAGGGGATTGTGTTGTCACCATGCATGCCCCTGAAAAGTGGGACCAGCACACCATAGTCCAGGCATACCCATCATGAGGAGTTGCTTTTTCACGACAGCATAGGCATGCCTGGCTATAAGAGGATAATGTAAGGGTTCATCCAGTGAAAGAAAGGAAATTTTTCACATCTGCAATTGAATATAGATCAGAAATATATAACTATTTTCTCTTCTTTTTTTATCTACCTTTAAAATATAGTTATCAAAAGTTTGTAACTGCAGTCAAATAATAAAGTTCAACTGCAGCTGACAAATGTATTTGTAAGTGTGGATACTGATTACAAATTGTAAGTGATATTTAGATTAACTGTTGCTCTCGGTGTAGTGCAAATAAAATTACACTTTCTATGGGTTGTATTTAACATCATTTTTAAGTGTATTGTTTGAATGAAACTAATGTAGGATGTGGGTATGACTGTGAGTACAGAGCTATTACATTTATGATTGGCTGAAGATGTGACAAATTATTAACAGTGGTAGTGGTTGCTGAGAGCGACGCACAGAGATGGAGGGAAATGGACACTGCCATCTTATAGAGCATTAAAAAAAAAAAAAAAAATAGAAGCAATGCAGGTACAACTGCAGTGGCTTCATATTTACTGGAAAATAACAAAAATATTCCCTGCATGCCACTGCTTAGTCCATAACACCTTCACACAGCCAGAGTTCTAAATGTATTTTCTGTAACTTGGCATGAAGTGCTAATGAAGGGAGGTATAGGGAAGGAGCTTGTCCCCCTCTCTCTAGGGAATAAATAGAAGGTAGGAAAGGTTAGGTTCAGAATTCTGGGTTTGCATGATACCCTGGTTTTAGGGCTTCGTCTCTGGAGGTGCGTCGCTCTTGGTAACAAATACTGTAGTAGTAATTCACACCACCAGCCAGAATCCTTGCTCTGGTATCTGCATAAAAAGCAGAAATGGGACAGGTGTTAGGTACCTAGTGGTGAGTGGAAACCAACAAAGAACTTATCTTCTCTTTTTCCATGGCAGTTTCAGTAATGGCTCGTGGACATCAGAAAGCCCAGTCTCAAGCAAAAAACCTTGCCAAACAGGCAGCCATCAAGTCAAAACAGGGCCACAATGCCAATGCCCAGAAGAAAGCAGCTGCCAAGGCCCTCACCTACCAGTGCCCTGTTTGTCGGGTGAGTTATGAGCAGTGCTTCATGAGAAGGGAATATAGTACATGCGTTCTTAGTTTTCTTGATACTAATTTTGTAGGCTAATCTTCAGAAAGTTTTAATTATAGACCATGGCATGGAATAATGAGGGCATTGGTAAATTTTAATTATTGTCCCTTTTAGCAGTGCCACAGTTTTTGACTGGCTGAATAAGTTTAAGTGCTAGTCAGTCAACAGTGTAAACCATCAGCGTAAAGCCATTCAGTAATATCAATCCATGTGCTCCCTTTACCCCATATGTCAGTTGCCACAAAACAAATTTATGCCCAGAGTAAGTGATATTAAAGTAGTCAGTTGGTAAGACAAGTAACTTATTTTTCAGAGCATGATGCCAGACCCCAAGACGTTTAAGCAACACTTTGAGAACAAGCATCCAGGTGCTCCCATGCCTGAGGAACTCAAGGACATCTGATGCAATGAAACGAAGAGCTGAGGTTGAACTTGCACACTGTTGGGGCTCCAGCAAGACGTGACCCGTCGTCATCTGAATTGTCGGCAGTGTTTTAAAATATGAATCTACTGATCAGGATGAAATAATTATTTGGAAAAGGGTGTGAGAGGCCAGGATTTTAAAGCCAATCCAAGATTTCTGACTTAGATTTTCTACTCAGGTGTACACATTTTATTTTCTTCACTATCTTGGAAATGCTAACCAAAACTATTGTTAATTTCAGTAGAGTTTAAACTTGATTTTTAGTAGTTTCAAGACTCAATAAAATCAGTTTTCCTTTACTTAGCCTCAATTTTTTTTCTTTGTAGTTTATATAGAGATATGTTTGTTTCTAAGATTCTCAAAATCAGGAAATTACACATTGTATTGGCTTATATTACAACTTTGGCAGAAAAAACAAAAATGTACGACGACACAACCTATTGACTTGCAAAAGAAGTCAGAATTATAAGAATATACATTTGATGATAGTCTGTGATATTTAAACCAAAATGCATGTTCATTTCATCATTTTAACATCGGGCCCGTTGCTGTCCCCCTCCGTGGTGCAAACATTGGACTCGGCTGCTCGCTTCATTTAAAGTTATCTGGTAGGAGCTAATGCTGCTACTTGACATTGAAATGGATTTGTTTTCTTCTTTTCTTTCTTTTTCTTCTTTCTTTTCTTTCTGTCTGTCTTTTTCTTTTTTTCTTTTGTGTCAATAATTTTCTTCTTTTTTTCTGGGAATCCCTGGGTATTTATTTAGGAGCCCATGATATGTCCCTTTAGAATATGCCTCAACTTTTTTTGATAATCTTTTGTCAGATTTTCTTAAAAGCTCCTTATTTTACCTCATGTCTAGAACAGTTTGTTATTGAAAAGGAAGACAAATTATAAAATAAAAACAGACAAACAAAAAAAAATACATGAAACATTCTGTATGTGACCTGTGACCACCCATGGTTTTACCTGAAGTGAATTTCAGTGTTCGACCCTGAGGCCTTTGCATAGGCCCTGTCATTATATCTCTGGTAAGTAACATGTAGATGATGCTAAGAAGACATTATCTCCATAGGCATTTGGTCCTCATTGCTTATCTAGCAAGTTTTTCTTAGTATTTCTTTAATTGAGAATTCAGCAAGCACCTGCAGTCACAGGTGGTCTCTCTCCTGTCTTTGCTTGGTTAAAACTTCAGTTTCTGTCTCTCTGCCTCCTCCTTCACATCACCCATTCCAGTTTTTGGCTAATATTCAGAGAACGAGAGGCTTTGTGGAGGTGCACTTTCTTCTGGGTGCAGCTCTCACAGCCTCTGTTTCCTGAATTTCAGGTCAAGCTTCTCCAGAGGACCAACTTGTCCCTCTGTGACTTATTGTATGACTTAATGCAGACTCCCTTTTTTATTATTATGATTATTCCTTTCTCACATGCGAAGGCCATTTGTTTGTTGAGAAATTGTCATCCTGGGTTCCTTTGCTTGGTTTTGTGCATCTGAAAGTGTACTGTACTTTTTTCTCTCATTATTTTCAAAGGAATCCCAAATAGTCTGGAGATCTTGCTGTCATTGCCATAAGTGTCATCCCATACACCAAGTAAAAACATTATTAGCTCAAGGTTTTATTATATTTTATATATAATCCATGTAAATCATGGGGATAATAAAAGTGTTACCACAAATCTGTGCTTTTCTTTCCTGTGCATTTCATTTTTTTTTTTTTTTTTTTTTTTTTATACATGAACCACATTTTTGAGTTGCCTGTGTCTCATAGACAAAAGTTTTAATTATTTAACTAATATGAAAAGAATATAAATATGGAAAGCCTGAGTAATTCTTTGGCCTGATCATAATTACAAAAAAAATGCACACATACTGCTCACCACAGGAGTGATGGTTTACAGCAGAAACATTCACTAATTGTTACAAAAAAGCCATTTAGTAGACACAAAAACTCAGTCTCCTGCATATCATATAATGTACAGTGGCTCACTGCCCTCTTCTTTTAAACACTCAAATATTTTTAAAGCAAAAGGGCTTGCATATAATTAATAAGTTTTCTTGTATACAGAATGCATGAAGAATCTTGAAAAGATATTTCATGGGTAGAGAGTTTCAAATGATTCTGGTGGTAGCTTCATAATCCACACAAATGATACCTCGTCTACAAAATATGGTTGAAACTGTCATCACATTACTGTTACTAAAGAAAGTAAGTTACCTTGCAATATTTTTAAAAATCTTATTTTCAAGTTCATCAGTATTAGTTTTACCCTCTAAAAAAAGTGGGTTGCCTTATTAACTTCCTATTTAATGGATACCAGATGTGAAAAGCTCTACTTGACCTACACCTACCCAGTGAAAACTCATGATCCAAATGGTCTGAAACTGAGTGGGATAATGCCAGAATATGAAGAACTTGTCTATCACTCATAAAGAAAATCCTGGTCTCCGTCAGTCCCTTAAATCTTATCCCCCAGCATAGGAGAACTGTTCTAATATGAAAGTTGTATACACTGCAATATAATAGATAAAGATAAAGATGGACTATCTTCTCTGCCTCCACTTTGATACCATTGTGCAAACTGCCAGTTTCACCTTGAATTCAAAGTACATACTTTACGGTTAATGTTACCGAGAGCGACGCACGCAGATAGAGCAAAATGGACATTGCCATCTTGTAGAGCATCAAAAATAGAGTGGGAATCAATACATCTAAATCTGCAGCGGCCTCATATTTACCGGAAAATGACAAAAATAGGCTCTGCATGGCCCCGCTCTGAGACTAAGTCCCCATCCATGTTTACCTTGCCAGGACCAAAACAAAAGTGACGCGTAACTCATTATTGCGATCTATCAAGTAGTCCATGTATTACTACGCGCTTGTGAAAACGACTATTTTGTAATTACCAGTGTCTGTTTTTCCGAATCCATGCATTTAATGAATTCTTTTACTTTTATTATACTTCTTTTACGTGTTTTGGTAATTATTTACACTATTTTGCACAATATCCCTGTGCGCATGTGCGCTTTTCCACCGGGAGATTTGACAGTCCGTCCGCCGCCATTCGTCCCGAAACACCGGTGGGAAGTGTCACATTTTAGGTGTGTTGCGTCGATTCTGGGTCATTTTTAAAGCCATATAGTGGATATATAGAACCAATAGATATTAGTGTCTATCTCAGCCTGATACATGAGCCCAATAAGTGCCCCAAATGTCGAAAAAAGTGATTAGAAACCAAGGAATTCGGACCATAGACGGAAGGCAAGAAAAATTCGGTCTTTCGCTATATAAAGGTATGTGGTTTTACCCTGGGGGTTAAGAGCAGAGCCCCTTGGCTAGGGAATATATAGATCGTATTTTATTAAAACCACGGGGGTCCAGGGGGCGAAGCCCCCTGGCTAGGCACACACAGTACTACGGGGGTCCAGGGGGCGTAGCCCCCTGGCTAGGCGCGTATAATTAGGCTAGGTTAGGCTAGGCTAGGTTAGGTTAGGTTAGGCTAGGTTAGGTTAGGTTAGGCTAGGTTAGGTTAGGTTAGGTTAGGCTAGGTTAGGTTAGGTTAGGCTAGGTTAGGTTAGGCTAGGTTAGGTTAGGTTAGGTTAGGGTAGGTTTATATATTACTAGGGGGTCCAGGGGGCGTAGCCCCCTGGCTAGGCGCATTTGATACCACGGGGGTCCAGGGGGCAGAGCCCCCTGGCTAGGGAATAAATAGATCGTAGTGTATAAATTTCACAGGGTTAGGTTAGGTTGGTTTATTGGTTAGGACGTATTGTACGATTACCACAGGGGATCTGGATTATCTGAAATCCCGTAGATTTTTACCGATGGCTGGGTTTGATCCCCGTAGAGTTTTTCGAAAATTGGCGCGCCGGCCCGTAGAGTTTCAAATGTGGCGGGGATGTCCGTAGAGTTTTCACAGGCCGATTTTCATCGTTTTTTGTGCTTTTCGGGACGGAAATTTGGCTCGGGTTTTCGAAAAATCTACTTTTTTACGTTTCTTAAATCACTTTCTTCGATTTCTGCAGGTTTCTATCGACATCCAGCGCCATCCATTACCCCCCCCCCTTCAACCCCCGGTTCCCCACGCATCCCCCAAGATCGTTGGGTAGAGGAAACTTCAAAAAAATCTCATTTTGAAACTCAGTCTCTGAGAGGGGGCGTCGCTCTCGGTAACAATTACCTACTTTACTTCTATGAGCATAGGTTTCAGATACAAGAATCAAACTAGCAGTTCAAACACTTGCAGGGCTGAGTCATGAATTTGGAAGTGGATTGGACAGTACACCCTCAAGTGATTCTGTAATAACATACAGCCACATCCACGAGATTTATCAACAAATCCCTATGCATGGTAGTGATTCATGGGCACATTGACATGCCTACTAGAAGGCATTCCCTTGTTTGGTGTCCACAAGCAGATTAGGCAGTATAGGTAGGTCATCTCCTCAGGGTATTTTACCTTAGTTTCTTTAAGCCCACCTTGGATTGTGATTTGTGTTTAGCCATGCATGAATTGGCCCATGAATGGTTGGTCCTAAGAGATATCCTTGAGCTGCATTTTGCAAAGTGGAGGCAGGCATAACTATCACTGTGGCAAATATAGAATAGGTAAGAATGGGATTTCATAATTCTATAATACAAAATGTGTAACTGACAGCTGGATGTCACAAATTCATCAGAATTATATACAAATTCACATTCAGATTGTTAACTTACTGCCATTCAGTGGCATGACTGGACTCCTTTCCATGCCAAGAACCTACTCAAAGTTATTCACTTGCAATAACTACAATCACTGAGGAGTTACAGCATCTCAAAAGTAAGCTTAAAGTCACACTTTAAGCCAAAATTAGAGAGAGTGCAATTTTTCCATCAAACATCCAACTGACCTTGGCCAATATGGCACATAAAATTTCTGTTGGCATTGGGGTAATCTGTTATTTACTTGATATCTCGTATTGGGATGGCATGATGTACGTGTCCACTCTGATTGTATTGATTGTGTTTGCACTTAGATGGCTCCCCAAGTACTCAGTCACCAAGGAGTAAATTCCTGTTCATATCAGCCTCACTGGTTTATACTTTCCCTATTTTTTTCTATGTTTTATTGCTACTAGTATATTAATAAAATTATAATAATTATGATAATAATAATTACAATATTGATACTAGTATTAGAAAAAAAATCAAGCCACCTGTTAGCAACAAAATCCACAAAGGACAGTCAGTGTACCCAAGTAATTTTAGTTGCTATTATTAATATAAATGACATCTATATAGACCATAATGGTAACATTAACATTAAAAAGATTATAAAGCATTTGGTAAATAACACAAAGTTAATAATTAATAAAACATTTATTTGTGAACATCATTCTGAAAAGTATTTGCATAAATAATTTCAAAGAACCAAAATTAAATTCATTACATAATTTGTGTAGTCTCTCAAAATGGTAGTTATTAATGTTACACTAAACAACATTAAAAACATCTTTACTTGCTTAAAAAATAGACTATTAGTGTTCAACAACATGCAAGAGAAACAGGACCATCTAGCAACAGTCAGTTCAAATTAGTATTACCACATTTTCCCTAGACATTACAAAATATTTTCTGCAACTTAGAAAACTTTCATTGAATTTTCAAAGAGGGTTGCCAGGTCCTCCTCACTCTGTTCCCTTGGTGCCAGTTTTGTCACTCGATGCTGTAGAAAGAAAATTGGTTTTACATTTTGCCAATACACACTTATTCACCATGCAAAGTTGGTTCTCTATTTTGCACAAGTACCACAGTAGGCATCAGTGTAGTTTGGAGCAGATTTCCTAATAGCTGCAGTAATAAGACTCATTGGTATATACTTCTATAATAATTGCAGGACAATCTTAATTCCTTTTAACTAACAGTAATACTACCATCTCTCAGTACAGATAATATGGTATGAACTTTTTCTGCTAATCAAGGCGGTATTTTCTGTGCCAGCCACAAAAGACAGATACATTCAATAAAATTGCAATTAAATTTTATTTAATCAAATATTTATATTTTTCAACCAGCTTAATTGTTTAATATAATATATATTACATTTCATGATATCAAAAATGCAAAAAACAATAGACAAATATGTCTTCCTGATCCCACAAGCCCTCCACAAAGGACAAAGGCTTAAGATGGGAGGTTACCATCTGGGTCCAAACCTGACTCACATGAAACAGGAAACTGTTTCACTGCACTGATACCAAATAGACATCATTGTGCTCATGAGGTCAACATATATTTAGGCTTTGGTCAGTTAATGGTCAACTGAAAGACTTACTTGTGGGAGAGTCCCTTTCACCAAAGCAGGGATGTCATCTGTTGTGTAGCCAAGAGCTCCCAGTCCATTGTCTACCTTCATTTCATGCATGAACTCACGGAGAACATCAGCCAAAACAAGGCCTGTAAAATAATCATATGCCCTATATATTCCACTTTAAAATATATACCTATATACATAATGAAACTGTAAACATTTCTGTGTATGCTTTGATGCAGCTGAGAGAGAGAGAGAGAGAGAGAGAGAGAGAGAGAGAGAGAGAGAGAGAGAGAGAGAGAGAGAGAGAGAGAGAGAGAGAGAGAGAGAGAGAGAGTGTGAGAGAGAGAGAGAGAGAGAGAGAGAGAGAGAGTGAGTGAGTGAGTGAGTGAGTGAGTGAGTGAGTGAGTGAGAGTGAGTGAGAGTGAGTGAGTGAGTGAGTGAGTGAGTGAGTGAGTGAGTGAGTGAGTGAGTGAGTGAGTGAGTGAGTGAGTGAGTGAGTGAGTGAGTGAGTGAGTGAGTGAGTGAGTGAGTGAGTGAGTGAGTGAGTGAGTGAGTGAGTGAGAGAGTGAGAGAGTGAGAGAGTGAGTGAGTGAGAGAGAGAGAGAGAGAGAGAAAGAGAGAGAGAGAGAGAGAGACTAAATCATCACTTCTTAAAATCTGTCACTTTATCATGTTGTCCCTCATACAGTACCTGCATCTTCCCTTTTAACTTTAGTCACATCCTTCCCAAGCACCTTTGCTGCTTCAATGTGTCTCTCTGGGCACATGGAGGCAGTAAACTGGAAGACAGCTGGAGCTGTCATCACCACTGACAGCCCATGAGGTATAATGGGGTGATCACATCTGATAAAAAAATATATATACAAAATTTTCATTCCCTCACAGAGGAAGATGAGGAGAAATGTATAAAATATGGCATTAATTTTCTAAAAGAGAGATAAGAACTAGAAGGGGACAGAAAGATAGGACAGAGATTATCATTGATAACAGGACAAAAGATAAAATAAAATAACATGTAAAACTGATTAAATGTTACTAGTATCCTTTAGTCTATGTCATGATCTGTATACAGTATATGAAGTATCCTTTCAACTAAAATGATTGTTGCTAAAATAATCATATAATATTAAGTCTAAACTAGAAAACAAAGAAAACAAAAAATTCTATCAGATAATGATATCACAACAAGGCCATTCCTCTTCATCAGACCCTATATAAACTGTTGTTTTTAATGACTTACTCGTAATCACTGGGCAAGAAATTCCTCACATTTCCAGCAATGGGATAAGACATGCCATGACAGAGGTGAACGCCAGCATTGCCAAACCCAACACCAGCAAAAGTGCTTGCCAAGTGCATCTTGGATCGGGCTTCTACATCATCGGCATTGTACACGGACCTGAATCCCACAACAAAGGAAAGTCAGAAAATGATCACCCGCATGCTCATGTGTGAGTGTGAGTGAGTGTGTGTAAGTGTGTGTCTGTGTAAGTGTGTGTGAGTGTGTGTGTGTGTGTGTGTGTGTGTGT